AGCAGGAACCAAACCCGGGACTCTGTGGCCCGCAGGCCGACGCTCAACCGCTGAGCCAAACTGGCCAGGGTAGACTCCCTAATAGTTTAAAGAGTGATAATGGACCTGATTTTGTTTTTGAAGTTACTCAGAGTCAGTAGATTCCTGGGAGCTATATACAGCCTGGAGATCACAGGCCTCAGGGAAAGCCAAGAAAATGAACCACACTTTAAAGAAGAACGTAGCCAACCTGTGTCAGGAGGCAAATCTGCATTGCAATTAGGTGCTGCCAATTGCCCTGCTCAGGATCAGAGTAACTCCCTGAAGTGGGGTTGGTTTAAGTCCCTGTGAAATAACACAGGGGTGACCCTTTCAGGCTGCTATAGGAACAGGAGAGGTATATGTAGATCATGATGTTAAGAGTAAGAATCATTTGCAACATCTTTTTTTAATTTTTTTTATTATTTTTTATTTATTTTTATTAAACCCGGGTCTCTCTGGACTGCAGGCCGACGCTCTAACCGCTGAGCCAAACTGGCCAGGGCTCAAATGATAAGAGAAAGCTTATTTAGAAAGTCACAGAGGTAGATGCAGTGAGCCATAGAAGAAATGGACTCAGGAAACAAGTTATAGAGGCCAAAGAAGGGACCTTAGAGCTTAGGGGAAGAGCGAGACAAAGAAAATGCCTTGAAGGAAGGGTGTGGGGAAAGGCAGACTTTGCCTGTCAGGTGGAATTTATATAGAACAGACTTTCACCTCCTTCCCAATTGGAGTTGGGCTGCCTATTGCTAATATAGAAAGCTATACATATTTTATTCACATCAGGAAGGAGGTTACTTATAGGAACCTTTATGCCTGGGGACCCAGTGCCAAATGAAAAGATAAAGAGAGGTTTTCTCTAAAGGTTACTGCAGTGGCCCCTAGTGGGGAGTGTCTGAATTTTACCGGGTGTACTAGTTACTGCCTTTCATTGTCCAATAACTACAATATGAATTGTCCTGATTACTCATCAATCTCTTATGGAAATGGACATACCAAGCTGCCAGCCAATTGCTTTCTTATATGTGATTTAACTGTTTATTCATATATCCCTGCTAACAGTACAGGAGAGCCTTGTTCCCTAGGAAGGCTGTCTGTCTTCATACCTTAGAACAGTGGTTCTCAACCTTCCTAATGCCGCGACCCTTTAATACAGTTCCTCATATTGTGGTGACCCTCAACCATAAAATTATTTTTGTTGCTACTTCACAACTGTAATTTTGGTACTGTTATGAGTCGCCATTGGAAATATGTGTTTTCCGATGGTCTTAGGCGACTCCTGTGAAAGGGTCGTTTGACCCCCAAAGGGGTTGTGACCCACAGGTTGAGAACCGCTGCCTTAGAAGGCTCTGGACCCAAAGGGACCTTTCCACAGTCCTGGCTCCAGATGGCAATGGCAACCTTCATTTGTGGAGTACTGCAGAATATACTTCTTTGACTATTTTTGCTATGCTGGTAATGGTAAGTTTTCTTAATGTAGAAATAAACTGACTAGCTTGCAGAACGGTAAAGGCTCTTAATGCCACTTCCGGGGCTATCAGTGCTATAAACCAAGAACTACACCAAGTGAGGAAAGCAGTGCCGGAGAGTCGAGCTGCAATCGACCATTTACTGTTACGGCACAATCGTGGATGTGAAGAATTTAAAGGTGTTGCCCGGCCAGTGTGTCTCAGTGGTTGAGCGTCGACCCATGCACCAAGAGGTCACCAGTTCGATTCCCACTCAGGGCACATGCCCAGGTGGTGGGCAAAATCCCCAGTGTGGGGTACACAGGAGGCGGCCAATCAATGTTCTCTCTCATTGATGTTTCTATCTGTCTCTCCCTTCTTCTCTCTCTAAAATCAATAAAGAAAAAAAAGTAAAATAAAGGTATCACAAGCACTCTGGCTGCAAGTATAGACTTTCCTAAAAATGACTCAATGTCCTGACCCCCAGATAGTATCAGGGGTGCCTGATGGAGGCCAGGACCTTAGGTGGTCACTTTACCCTCTAGGTTCCTAACACCAAGTAACAACAGTGAGCCAACACAGGTGACCATGCTGTCAACTTAGCTTTTATTACTTGCAGGTTTAATCTAAATTACAAATACACCAGAACACATACATATAAGCATTGGGGGTTAACAGACTAAAAGTCCAAGAGATCTCAAATGTCCTCTGGTCTGGGCTATTTACAGAGCGATGGTCACTGGTCACTCAGAGTCATGGAAGCCTCTGCATCCAGGGGAGGAGGGTCCACATCTTGGAAGGGAGACTGTTTAACCAGCTCGAGACAGCAAAGTCTCAGAATAATCAACAGCCACCAAGCCAGACACATGAGCTGTCAGCATGACTCATTCACAGGAGGGTGAATAGCAAGTGTCACTGTTCTTAGTTTTACTTTTGTCATTCTTGTGGAAGTGTCTCCCTTCATCTGCACTTATTAGATATGCTTGTGGTCTCCAAGATTAGTCCTCAAAGTCTTAAATCAGAATATTTGGCAATGTCCTTATCACTTGCACCTGTGGGTTGCCTTCCTTGGCTGTAGCCCAGAACTTGGCTGGGGGCCCAAACAATAAGGCTCAAACTTAAGATGGAGTTAGTAATACTGACTCTGCTCTCCTTAAAAGGATTATTTATTTTAATCTTTCTGGTAATTCCCAATTACTAGAGAACAACATTCAACAGGTTAAAGAGACTAATTTCAGGATAAAACAATGAGAATTTTTTCGGATTCTACTTGTCCAAGCTGAACTCCTAGTTACCTAACCTAACTGAACTTTGGGAATTCTTTTTGCTTTTTCTGATTGCTTGTTGCTGTATTCAATGCTCTTCTCTTTTTAGGTCCTGTGCTCATGGCATTCTCTCACTGTGAGAAGTTCTCAAGGCTAAAGAAAATGCTCTTCAGCAGAGTGATAGCTTTCATTTGAAACTAATCTCACAGATATAAGATGATAATACTAACAGTGGGGAATGAAAAGGAGGAGAGAGCACATAATAAGAATAGGACCACAGTTGTTTAATGATTATTCACCTTACTAACTATAGATAAGAGGTTTTCTTACAGACCCTGGGAAACTGGAGGATGTGCTGCAAGAGGAAAACTGGGCTGTAAAAAAAGATAAGATACCTCAGAGTCTGGATGGGTCCAAATCTCAGAAAAGAACATACATTTTGAGAACAAACAAAGGTCAGGACTTTGTTGCTGTGTCTGGACCCTGATGCCCTCCAGGAGTTTGTTTCAGGAATGCTGACCATTCTCCAGTCCCAGGAGTGGGCAAAGCTGTTTCAAAATCATAGAAAATTATTTACCTTGTTATCAGACTTCAAGATTCTGGAAAGAGACACACGAACTATGGACCCTGTATCCCTTACCCTCCCCCCACCCCCCTTGCATGCAGCATCTTTCTTCCGTATCCATACATAATCAACTAACTAATAGGGGATGTTAGAACAGAATTTACAGGATGACCTGCTGCTCTCTCCATACTGCTGGCATTATTGGAATAAACACTCATATAAGATTCAATCCTGTCTATGCTTAATTTGTCTCATGTAGTGACAGGCAGTCTCTGGCTTGTTTTGTGTCCAGTTTCACAATTTCTTTGCTTAATTATCACAAACACCAACCAAGTGCTCAATACCTGCCTGATACTGTTCTAAGCGCTGGAGATACGGCTGTGAGACCAAACAGACAAAATCCCAGGTCTCGTAGACCTGACATGCTGGTGGGGACTCGCCCAATAAACCGCACAGCAAGAACAGTAACAATGTGTTATAATATGTTAGAATGAAATAAGGCATATTTGAAGTGGCTTTTATTTCTTTCCATTTAAAAATTTTGAAGCACTGGAAAGGAGGCAAACTGGTTGGAGCAGACAGAGCAGGAGATGAGAGGAGATGGGGTGGCAGAAGGAGAGGCCAGAGACCAGAACTCTGGCTTTATTCTGAGTGAACTGAGGAGCCTCTGGAGTGATCTGTGTTTCGTGAAGAGAGTCCATTACAAGTTTCCAAAACCAACAATAGAACAACAATAAACAATCAGAATGTCTCCTGGACACCCATACACAACATTTCTGGTTTTTTTTTTTTAAATCCTCACCCGAGACCGTTTTTCCATTTTTTGTTCAGATAAGAGTGGGAGGGAGAGAGAGAGAGAGAAACATCGACGTGCAAGAGACACATCCGAGTGGCTGCCACCCGCACGACCAATGGGACAAATGGCAACCGAGGTACGTGCCCTTAGCGGGAACCAAACCTGGGTCTCTCTGGACCGCGGGCTGACGATCTAACCGCTGAGCCAAACCGGCCAGGGCAACAGTTCTAGTTGACTAAGAAAATACAGAGTTGCCACAGTTACCACGACTGCAGGGGCTCTTACAACCCACTTGTTTTTGTAAGTCACATCAGGACCTCCCTCCAGCATGCATGAACTACACATTTCTGGAACTAAATTAAGTTAAGCATGAAGGTGCTAGGATGATATGGAAATCTAGCAGGCACCCCTCTGTGAGACTACCCTTACCCAATTCCTCAACAACAGAGAAGTAACTGGAGTCCCTCAGGCAGGCCACAAGTCCACAGGCACTAATTAAATTTAGGGACATGTGAAAACACAATAAAAGAACCAATTAAGCAGTAAGTAGTGATGGCTGTAAACCCTAATCTGAGACATGAGCCAGGCTCACAGGGCTCCTCGTTCTTGCTGAACAGCGATGGATGATATCACAACACACATGCTAACTGCTCTTCAGGAACTAAGATGCCCACTAGAAGAGGGAAGTTGTGGACAACGAAGCAGAAAACATTTTTATTAGCAGATTCAAGTGTATCTTTTCATTTTCCTCTAAGAAGAAGTCAAGAAGACGGCGCGGAGGGCCGCTAGTTTGGGATGGTGGCGTCGAGGCTGGAGCTGAACCTGGTCCGGCTGCTGTGCCGCTGCGAGGCGGTGGCAGCAGAGAAGAGGGACCCGGAGGAGTGGTGGACTTGGGAGCCCTCGAGGACATGCTGCAGGCCCTGAAAGCCCAGACGGGCAAACCGGTTTGTGAGGTGATCAGTGAATATTCCCGCAAGGTTGACTTTCTGAAGGGGATGCTGCAGGCGGAGAAGCTGACCTCCTCCTCAGAGAAAGCGCTAGCCAACCAGTTCCTGGCCCCGGGCCCAGTGCCAACCGCAGCCAGGGAGCGGGTGCCTGCCACCAAGACAGTACACCTGCAGTCCCGGGCACGGCACACCTGCGAGATGCGGAGTGAGCTGCTAGGCATAGATTCTGCTGCAGAGCCCGAGCTGGACGTGAGGAAGAGGACTGGTGTGGCAGGTCCCAGGCCAGGGGATGAGAAGCAGTGGGCTGCTGAGCTAGACCTCCTCCTGCAACACCACCAGAACCTCCATGAGAAGCTGGCAGAAGAAATGCTAGGCCTGGCCCGGAGTCTTAAGATCAACACACTAGCTGCTCAGAATGTCACCAAGAAGGACAACCAGACCTGGCCGGTTTGGCTCAGTGGTTAGAGCATTGGCCTGAGGACCAGAGAGTCCAGGGTTCGGTTCCCGCTAAGGGCATGTACCTTGGTTGCAGTTTGTCCCTGGCCCTGGTTGGGGTTGTGTGGGTGGCAACCAATTGATGTGTCTCTCTCACATTGATGTTTCTCTCTCTCTCTTCCCCCCTCTCTCCCTCCTGCTCTATCTGAAGATAAATGAAAAAAAAAAAAATGTCCTTAGGTAAGGATAAAAAAAATAAAAATAAAAAAGAAGGACAACCAGACCCTGTCGCACTCACTCAAGATGGCTGACCAAAACCTGGAGAAGCTGAAAACGGAATCAGGACGGCTGGAGCAGCAGGCCCAGGAATCTGTCAACTAACTGGCTGCTTTGGGCAATGTTTATCATTGTCTGCTTCATTTTCATCAGCATGATCCTCTTTATCCGTATCGTGCCCAAACTCAAATAAAAGACTGGGCCCCACCCTGGCCGGTTTGGATCAGCAGTCAGAGCATCGGCCCAAGGACTGAAGAGGCATGGGTTCAATTCTGGTCAGTGGCATGTACCTTGGTTGCAGTTCAGTCCCTGGCCCTGGTTGGGGTTGTGCAGGAGGCAGCCAGTTAATGTGTCTCTCTCATATTGATGTTTTTCTCCTTCTCCCCCACTCTGTCTGAAAATAAATGGAGAGAAAGGGTATTCAGGTGAGGATTTTAAATAAATAAATAAAGACTAGGCCCAGTTAAAAAAAAAAAAGTCAAAAGTCGATACACTTAGATTGATAGAATGATGCTTCAGTTTTTTATGGGGAGTTTCAGGTACTCAATGAGTTTACTTAAATGACTAAGTACATTCTAACTGAGCTTTTAGTTAGACTTGTTAAACCAGCCAGTAGTGACTCTGCAGTGAAGGGAAACAGAGTTTTCACCCAGATATGCCTTTTAGGATATTGATTTTTATCTCTTTATTGGGAAACAAAAGGCTCAGAAATAACCCTTGGACATCCCCACCCCACCCCCGCTGAACTGCCTAGAATGTATTTAGATGGAGGACCAGCTCCAGGAGTGGCCTTCACATGGAGAAGCCAAGGGAACATCCACTTACCAAACATTTCCTTGGGCATCTCCACGTGAATGGCTTTCCTGCCATTTGAAGTCTCCAACCACAACCCTCTTTCCCCCTTAGCTTCAGGATGGCGTATAAGCCTCAGTTACCCAATATTTCCTTGGGTCTCTATTCTTATAGCCCCCGAATATTCATTTGTATAATAGACTTTATATAATCTCCTGTGAATCTGTCTCTGTTACTTTGATTCTTAGCCCTGCTAAAATAATCTAAAAGATGACGGGGGAAAAAATACTTTGCTCCCACTGCTGGCTGTCAGGATTTCTTATCGGTTAAAGAATGAATGGAAAATAATGACTTCGCTTGTGTCATAGGAAAGAATGCAGATGTGGCCTGGAGCAGGTGATAAGAGAAATATGTAGTCTGCTAAGCACAAGATGGATCGATCTGTTTTCTGCTCTTAAGGTAACATCACTGACATAATCCTAAAATGGGTTGAGCTTTGGGTTGTCTGCAAGCAAGAAGATCGCTGGGCCCAAATAACCCAAAACCCCAGAGCAAACGATGCCAGGGGAGACATATATCACATTAAGAAGATTATGAATACTTATAACTGACCAATCCTCAAAGCCCGTGACTGTGAACCCCAAATCATGACTTTTTTCCCTCTTAAAAGACCCTAAATGTAAACAGCTGGGGAGTTCTGGTCTTTGAGCATCAGCTCCCCATTCCCCTTCCATTGGGATCTGATAAGCTTTCTTTCTTTTCACTGCAACCTGGTGTCAGTGTACTGGCTGTCTGGGCATTGGGCAAACAGACCCCACGTTCTGATGGACAATATGTATAGATTCAGAGGTCTGTACCTCCACTGCTCCTGCAATGGGAAACACGGCCTTGGGACTTGCTCTGTGAGAATAAGGAGCGTGTGTGTGTGTGTGTGTGTGTGTGTGTGTGTGAATGTGGCTTTTCAAGGCGTGAGCGGTCTTGGGGACAGAGAGGAGGGAAAGTCTTCTCACACTCCCTGGGCACCTAAAAGAAGCAGATCACAGACATTATCATAACCCTTTCTAGCATCACACTGCCAGGTAGTTTTTCATATGAGATGAAGAGTTTTATTTTTCCATCAACAACCAATTTTCCAGTGGGGTGTCCTCCGATCAAATTCAGTTCTGACACTGACTACCTGAAGTGTGTGCAGACCCCACAGGTTCCAGGCTCAGTAGCACAAGACCGACCCCCTTCGGATTCCACTTGCAAATAGGGTACCCGGACTACTCATATTTCTGCCTGCTTGACTCCAAATTTGGGGGTTCTCGTGACTCAGGTTTTATAATTACCAAAAAAAAAAAAAAAAACCAACAAAACTCACAGAACTCAGGAAAGGGTTTTACTTACTGTTACTGGTTTATTTAAGGATGCAATTCAAGAATAGCTAAATTAAAAAAACTTATAGGGCAAGGCATGGGGAGAGGCATGAAGGTTCCATGTCTTCCCTGGGCTCTCACCCTCTCGGCACCAACACAAAAGCTCTCTGTACCCCGTGGTTAGGGTTTTTATGGAAGTATCCTTACGTTGGCATAATTGATTCAATAATTGGCCATTGGTAATGATCTCTAGCTCCTCTCTCCTCCCAAGAGGTTAAGAGGTTGGACTGTATGCATGAAAAAGGGGCCACATACTCAACATGGATGAGTGAAATGTATTTACAACCAAATGAATCAAATAATGAACCAAGCAGGAAAATAATGACTTTAATGGAACTTCCACAAGAAAAAAATAATTTTGAGACTGGACGTTTGTTGCAGGACGTTCCAATGCAACTTTGAGCCATTTCCAGGACAGATATTGACAAGGTCAAGTCAGCCACTCCTATCAAAATAACTATTGATAATACTTTGCCTCTACCTAATAGTCACCAATATCTTTTAAGACTTGATGTGCTAGCTGAATTTAAGCATGTTATATAAGATTATTTAAAAGGGGGACTTATAATTCCATATAATTCTTTTATCCTTCCAGTAAATTCAAAGGCAAAGAGATGGAGTTTTGTACAAAACTCTCAGATCTATAAAGAAGATAGTTATTCCCAGACATCTTGCGGTTCCAGATCCACACACCTTATTATCAGCCATTCCTTTGGACTGCTAATATTTTTCAGTAATAGATTTATGTAGTGCCTTTTTTAGCATTCCAGTAGAAAAAGAGATTCAATATCTCTTTGCCTTCGCCCAGAAAGATTGCCAATTTACTTGGACTGAAATGCCCCATGAATATACAGAATCCCACCTACAGCTCCCAGATATTAGAAGTTAATTATATAATGTTAAATTTCCCAGAAATTCCTCTCAAATCCAATATCTGGATGATTTACTTTTATGCTATAGGACACCCCTAAACGTCATAAAAGACACACTTTACCTCTTACAAGAGCTAGCTATAAAAGGACATGAGGTCTCAAGGTATAAGTTTTAATTTTACTTACCTCAAGTAAATTGTCTTGGCCATTCCATAAGGATGGGCTTCTGATTAACCCTGGAAGACTCAGGGGAATCCTGTCTTTTCCTCGTCCAAAACCGAGAAAGAAGGTTAGAGGATTCCTGGGTTTCTGACTGGATATTGTCTCAGTTGGGTTCCACATTTTTATTAATGGCCCAGCCTCTATATATCCTATCAAAGTCAAATCAACCTGATTCAAGTCAGTGAAACCTAGAAGGAAAACAAGCTATAAAGTCTCCAAAGAATAATTTGAAGGCCCTGCTCTGGGACACCTTAAGTATAAACTTTCTAACTTTTTATACATTAAAGTAAAGAAAATGTTTTGGAAGTTTTAACTCTAAAATGTAGAGATCATAATAAACCTTTTAGATGTTTTAGTCAGCAATTAGACCCAGTAGCCAGAGGGCTCCCTCCCTGCACGACAGCTATCTCTGCTGTAGATATATTATGCAAACAAACAGAAAAAATATTTATGGTCTCTCCTTTGTTTATGTTCCTCATTCTGTTGGATCTTCACTGAATAACCATCACCCTCAAGACTTCTGTCAAGTGACTAGCTCTTGCTTTCTGTGCCTATAATGTCTCTCTCTCTTTTTTTTATCCTCACTCGAGGACATTTTTTCCATTTTTTGCTCAGATAGAGTGGGAGGGAGAGAGAGGAAGAGAGAGAAACATGGACGTGAAAGGGACACATTGAGTGGCTGCCACCCACATGACCAACCAGGGCCGGGGACAAACTGCAACCAAGTTACGCGCCCTTAGCGGGAACCGAACCTGGGTCTCTCTGGACCGCAGGCCAACGCTCTAACCGCTGAACCAAACTGGCCAGGGTTCTTTAAAAAAAAAAACAAAAAAAAAACTGTGCCCAATAAGCCTTTAAATCGATGTAATGGTCTTCACCCAGCATCTTTTGCTACGCTTTTTGCAGGATGAAGACATCCACAATTGTATTTTTCCCACTGACCAGCTTCTTGATTCTAAGAATGGTTTACAGGAAGAGTCTTGACAATGCTAACTTAGTTTGGGTTACAGATAGATCTGTGATAGATGAACAGGAATGTCACCCAGCTGAATATGTGATAACTTTCATGGTGGACATAATTGAAAGTTCTTATTTACATGAATAAGATCCACCCAACAAGCTCAGTTCATTGTTCTGACTTGGGCTTGTCATTTGGCCAAAAGTCAAATAGCCAATAGTTGCACTAATAGTAGCTATGCTCTTGCTGTAGCTCATAGCTCTAGACTGGAAACAACAAGTCTTCTTAACTTTCTCAGGGCAGCACATAAAGAACAGAAAATAGGTTGCAGAATTATAGATGTCATACAGAAATGGAAACAATTGGCAATTATCAGAATTCCAGAACATTCTAAAGCTGTCATCTTAAGAGTAGAAAGAGCCCTGGCCGGTTTGGCTCAGCGGTTAGAGCGTCGGCCTGCGGTCCGGAGAGACCCGGGTTCGGTTCCTGCTAAGGGCACGTACTTCGGTTGCAGTTTGTCCCCGGCCCTGGTTGGTCGTGCGGTGGCAGCCACTCGATGTGTCCCTTTCACATCGATGTTTCTCTCTCTCTATCTCTTCCTCTCTCTCCCTCCCACTCTATCTGTACAAAAAAATGTCCTCGGGTGAGGATAAAAAAAAAAAAGAGTAGAAAGAAATCCTTTAGCTGATGCTGCAGCTAGACAGGCAGCATTGAACAGTCAAATTATCTAGACTTTAGAATGCTTCTTGCTTCCTAGTAAATCAATAAAAGACTCTCTTTTACAATTCCAACGGACAGCTGCAGAAGAAGAAACGAGAATATGGCAACAAAAAGGAGAAACTT